GACATGAACACAGCCATGAACACTCGAGATGGAAACGGCTTTGACGCCCACGCAGCAGTGGTTACGAGCACGTCGACAGGACGGCGCGACTGGGCTCGGCAGATGAGTTCGGAGTCGAATGCCGGTAAATGCTGTGATCCAGCATACGTCGACGCTTGATGTTGGAAGATATGAGAGAGATGTCAGATCGTCTATTAGAGCTACTTACCATTCGTAAGATGTCTGTTGTGTGAAAATTACCTCGGTCATCTACCATGACACGAGCTTTCTCCTTCCACGTTTCTCATTCGCCTGGCAAAAAACTCCAGACGTTACGGGGGACACCCTCAAAAGGGCACGTGTAAATGACTGTTGACCAAGTTTGGGGTTAGAACTTTGTGCGCACCAGAAGAAGGACACGTGAGGTTATATGAGTTTTTCAAAGTGCACACATTAGGTTCTACAAGAACTAAAATACTCTCCATTTACCCCCTCGTATTAAAAATCTCCCCCAAGAGTTGCCTACCCAGCAGTCGCCGGTGCCTTCCGCGGCCAACCACAGGAAATTTTCGCAGTGCACTATCTCTCTTCCGGGTCATTTTATCACCAACGGCATTTTGTTCTGTCTGGTTTGTGGTCAGACATCGCTCTCGTTTCTGGACAAGGATCAGTCTGCAACTTGCAGATTCGATGGCTTCAGCTGCCGCACACCTGTGATTGCTGCTGGTTTACTCCCGACGCGCAGGGTGTTCGTTTACAAGTGCAGTAGCTTTACACTTCGGACCCGCAGGAGGCTTTCTCTTGGCCAGAGTGACATGACATCGATAGTGGCTCACGCACTGGTCTTTGATGCTTGATCGAGTCGGCACTAGTGCGCTGGAATGTATGAAGCGTGGGAACAGACGTGCTCCTACAATTAGCCCGACGGATCGTCTGTCCATGACCAGTTCGTTGGTGCGTCGGCGCCCACCCGATACTAGATAAGGTCTCCATACCTAGAGGAAGTCTCAAAACTCAGAGGTTCTGAAACAAGCTGTCGTCGTGAGACGTCCTACAGCGCGCGCGCAACGCGAATCGCAATACTTGGCTTTAAGCCGTGCCTATCGGCCGTTAAAGCGGAATCCAAGCATTGGACTGCATGTGCCCGAAAAGACTGTGCGATGTGATGGATTGCAAAGACGAGCTACCGTCGTTGATGCACGGTCGCACAAGAACCGCTGCCTCGGCATTTCTCGTCCGAATATGTAAATGCAGGAGCTGCACAGTGGCAGCCACCGCACAGGTGTTCCGCAGCGGCTTTACTCTCCCGCGACATTTACCAATCATGCTGATTCGGATGCTGTGACACGGTTTACTAGGATGACGACAACTGGTCCGAACGCCGTCTGGCCGTCGTCTGCCGACGGAAAGTCGATCCTGCAGCCACACAACAGAGCGTCTTCACCTGGTCGGGTGGCCGCTGCCACTCATTTCGCTTCGAAGCGAAATGCCTCTGCTTGGTCAAGTGGTCGGCCTTCACTCCCATCGTTTGTTCATTATTCAATCTGCCGGTCACCGCCAAGAGCCCCCCTCCATCACCCCTACACCTCCGACATCCTGCCATGCGCTTATCATATCTCCGAGCGGCCCTGGTCTCCTATGTGCTGCTCGACAATGCTGACCTCGCTTCAGGTATCGGCCAAACAAAGACCGTCGCACTCGGCGCCGCGCACGAGGTCGACGAGCCCAAGCATCGACTGAGACCGTACGCTGCCGACGTCGATCGAGAGGAGAGACAGCCATCCGCTAGTCTGATCGAACCACTTCTACCTTCGAGTCGTCGATCGAGAGGAGAGACAGCCATCCGCTAGTCTGATCGAACCACTTCTACCTTCGAGTGTCAGTGGATATACGCGCGTGAACGAGGTGGTGGAGACAAGCTATCCGAGCGTAGAAGAGGTGGCGAAGCGGTGGTGGAACGCCATCGGAGACTACTTGAATCTTAAAACCTTGAGGTGGACCCCCGATTTTAGTACTCGCCTTCACAGAGACGAGGAGCTCACCGGAATGTCTAAGAAGCTTGGAGGTCTAGTATTCTCCGCCGGCATGTCGACAGAGCAAAAGACTAAGGCCCTGGATGCATTAGTAAAAGAGTATAGCTACTTTTGGGAAAAAGTAGCCATCTTCCAAATGGCGCGTAAGTTGCCGGCGATTAATGAAGAGGTGATTGAGGCGGTCGAACACCAGGTTTTCATGAAACTTGAAACAATTGGTGGTGTGACCCACTTGTATGAGAAGGAGCCAAAATATTGGTCGAAAAAAGGCAAGGATTTGCGCGCCAGTTACCTCAAGGAGCACAAAGAGGAGTACGACACGTGGAAGGAGGTAATGAAAGAGTTAAAAAACAACAACTGACACCTGCTGTGACATGATTTGGCTAGCTACAGCGTCCCTGCATCGAAAGCAATGTTTCTTCTTTACTCCGTTTTTCTTTCTATAATAAATTTTGCATTCACCCGTATCTTGTTGTTTCCTTGTTCGTGTACGACGCTAGTGCCGATCGTGGCCAGACCTTTTCAACATTGGCTCATGTGCAGTAGCGTGTCGGATCGATCGCCGCAAACTTTACCGGTAGACTATGGTACTCTGCTACCGTTGTGAGAGCGGACAAACGTCCGTCCGCGCAGGTCTTACAATGAATGCACCGTGTTGTACGATCGCTTTGTAAAACAGTGCAATGGACGTTGATGGTGTAGATAGACGCCTCTATCGAAACAGTTGGACGTCGAAATAGCCGCCCTCTCGCAGGTGCTAGCGTGAATTCCCAAAAGGACACGTGAGGCACATGGCGGTCGACGAAGTAGGACTTGAGATCAAAGCCAACAGAGATGAAGAACGAAAATTAATTTAAAGCCGTGGTATTTAAAGCTCAGGTTTCCACATGCAAAATTCGCTTTACTTCAGATGAATTAAATTTGGTCCTATGAACCTGTTATGCAACTGTAGGTTCTGCCCCTGATATGTAAGATATATCAAACCATTCAGGTACAATAGGACGTTCTCGTACTTCATCGAACGACAATTTGTAAGGCGGGTGGCAAAAAACCTATAGATCATCTTTACAAATGACGTATAATGAGTGGATAAGTGAATGTGGTTGATCAAAAAAATGCTCGGAGTGGTATGGGGCGTCGATGGAGCCGTTTCATTCATATGACTGACTAAGCCACGCGTCATCATCACTCCAGAATCTAGTCGTGCAGCAGCTTCAAAATTGAAGTGTTTATATATCATAGTTGTGCGTCAGCATGGCATCTCGCATGAAACGCTACTTCCCTCCGAGCCTTCAGTTCCACGACGGGCATTGGAATCACTTGATGTTAGTCACGAAGGATTTTCGACACCAACATGTTTGACTGCAGAGGTGTCACCGAGCCGAGTCCTACGATCAAGAAAGTGGTCGCACACATATAAGAAGGCATCGACGGACTGCCCCGGTAGTCATCGTTTCAGGTTCACGTGGCCATGCACGTGCAGCTTCTGTACCCGCAGCTTCGGCTGCATGTAGATTCCCGTGTACCACAATCCCTACTTAGAGGTTTTCTATTAGGCCGAGTCTGACTCACCGACCAAGTAGAAGTCGATAGGGGAGTCCATCAGTCTAGCTACGGAAATGACGACTGCTGCCCTTCGCGGCAGTCTTAATTAAAAACTTGCGCCATGAGATATTAGGTTCATCCGGCGAGTCTGAGAACTCGTCGTCGGGATGGAACCAATCGCGCTCGTATTCGTACGAGACGAGTGCAATACATGAGGAATTACGTCCTCATGAAAATGTCGATGACTCTTTGCGGAGTCATCGTAGCCATAGTCATTTCAATGCGAGGTCATGTGGAAATCGTGATGCCATTTCTTTTTCGGCACAACGCAAGAGTAGCAGGATCGCAACTCGTTACGATCTTAACCTGAGAATAAACATGCGTGCCAACCTTGAGCGAGTTGAGAGAGTGTATGACTATACCACTGGGATTGGTCGAATCCCACTCTTTGAGTTGTCAAGGATGCATTGACTTAATTTTAGTGAGAAGATTATCGCTTTGAGCATATTGTTTACATTGATATCAGTTTCAGTCATCGATGGTACCACGGCAACCACAAGCGAGAAGAGATCTCAGTAATTAAGGCGTAAAACATTTTTATCGGCAACATTGAGAATGATGGCCGTGCCGCTTGGCTGACCAAACTTACTTCAGCACGCCCTAAGTTTGAATAGAAATCTATAATCGGTGCTCAGTAAAAACTGCGTCGAGTGTATTAAGAGGCAGGATACCTTGCCTCTCGTGACAAAAGAAATTTCAGAGTTGTGTAATAACTCTATTCGCGCATTTAGAAAGACCTTCTTCCTAAATTAGCCGTATTGAAGAGTGTGCATCTCGTCTGGGATGCACAATGGAATTTAAACGTTACGATCTATTAACGAATGCGCATGGCGTACGTTCGACGATGGCTCTATATTTTTTAGGGCAACGTCTCGTCGTACTCATCGACGCGATTGGGGACATGCACTAATAGCTGAAAGCAGGGCTCCTAGTTGTCCCACGAGTGTGGTACCCCCGTCATTGGACAAGGTAACTCGCATTTGATCTTTAATCGTCACGGTTGTTCAAGGTACGCTTCCCAAGAAAGCGTTGACAACCGTGTGAGTCAACCAGAAGGTGTGGAGGAGGGAATGTTCTGTTCCAAGTCGTTCAACTCACCAGATCGACCCATACGAGATAAATCATGCAATCTCTTCATCGCGCCAGGTTTTGAAGCACGAGCGGGACCGACGCTACGATCTATACTATTATGTGCGGAAGCACCGCAAGGATGGGGAGACTGAACGTTCGGATATACGTGATGATTAGCACTCGCACAGCTCCTGGTCAAGCGCGATGTCCTCTCCAACGTTGAAGAGCTAGGGAAAGCTCGCTGAAAGATCTCTGAACTGCATGGAGAGGTCTCTTTGTTACGCGTCCAGAATGATCGTCTGGAGCGCAAGCGCAAGAATCTGATGGAGGTTCTTAAATGTGGGGGCAATCTTTATCGTCCGAAGAGGGCTAGTACTGACAGTACTGACAGTATGGGTTGAGACACCTGCATAAAACGTAGTATGCGTGCGCATCCTCCGTGGTAGCTTGATCGTGTATGCGTTGCCTTGTAGGCTCAAAACACGAGAGGACTGATGTACTTGGGCAGTAGTTTGTTGCTGCCCACGTTAGTTACTACATGTGTAGGTAGCTTTATTGTAGAATGTATGACTAACTAAGCGTCAATAAATGAAAGAATATTCGTTCTTTTATTCTTGCCAGCGTTCCGCCTCTGCCCGCTCATTGTATAAGCAATAAAATCCTGCAAAAAAAGGGCCACTGCTTATCGCGCCAGAAGCGATCCTTCTGCTGAGTAGGTGTCTTTTGCCTAGTTTTCCTTGTAAGCACTGCAGAAAGAGTCATTTTTTCTTCCTTTTCATCAACATCCAGGGCGTCAGTATTCTCGCTGGACTAGAGGTTGGCGATGTTCAAATTACCAGCATTTTCATCATAATCTGACTTAAAAATCGCGTCATAACTATGATTGAGGTGATCTTCTTCTTCGGTGTCGACTCGATCGATATCGGCGTCATACGTGACGACGTTAGCGTCGAGCTGTCATGAGTAGGATCCAAAAAGGCTTTTGCATTAGCGATTCTATACCGCCTTTTCCAAAAGTCACAGTCTAAAAAAGCGAGAAGACGAAGATGTCGTAGGCCATATACGAAGAATGGTGTATTCTTGTGTTAAAGCATGCACCAAAACTTTAATGACGAATATCACCGGAGGAGTAAATTGCTCTAAATCGATAATGATTAGACATATCATCGAAGGATCTCTTTAGAGATACATATTGACGTTCCATCTTACCATCTGTTTACGGATGATGAGATGTCGACATCTTCAACCGTATTCTAAATGTGCGGAACACGTATTGCCAAAACTTCGCCGTGATCTGAGGATCGCGGTCAGATTCGAGTTCATGGGGTAATCCGTTAAGTCAAATACCGTGTCGAGAAGGGCACGCGCACATCCCTGTGCCGTGATCGACTCGGGAACTTTAGCCAGATGTATTATCTTGCTCACCCGGATCACGAACACAAAAATTTCGGTATGATTGTGAGCATACTCGAAAAAATGAAGGGGCGGCCATTCAAACGGACTGCCAGCACAATGCCGGGACAGGTAGAGGATGAAAAGGAGCACGGGAAGAAGTACTAGGCTCTCTCCGTTGACAAATCTTTACAAGCACGAATGTGCTTGCGCTCAAACTGATACTCGCGGGACCAGTAAAAGTCACGACTTACCGTAAGGTAAGTCGTTATCATACTACGGTTCCCGCCTGTTTAGGCACCGTGACACTCATCATGATGCGCAAGAGCCAATCATTTTGGCGTCGGACGACGATACGAGGCGTGTCGTCGGCAACGGCAGTATAGTACATCAATCCGTTGCGAGTTGTGTACCGATCCGATGAGGAACGGTTTAAGTCCGACAAATATTTAAATTTTAAACGAAATGAAAGCGCCGAATATTTTTCATCGATCGCAGAAGATCCATAATTTCTGCATAGGCCTTTCGCACGTCGTCAAATACTGTTGACGACATGACACTTAATGTAAGTGTCTCAACACTAGGGTTTTCCTCACCGTAAGTTGCGCGCCCGGCACAAAATTGGGACGGCGTGAAAGCGCATTAGGGAGGAAATATAGTTTTCCTGAGATTTTCTCGACGGAGAAGTTGTACTCCGCGAATAAATACAGCCACGTCGTCACACTTTGCAAAATGTGTGGATTGTTTACGGCCGTGCGTAGGGACGCATAAATCGGTTTAGACGATGAACGGTCTATCTCATAAGATATAGACGCGAAACTTGGCCATTGCGTTCTTCATGGCAAGGCGTTCCTTGTCATGGACTGGATGACGCACTCTGAGCCGTCTGTGATAATTAGCATCAACCCACAGCCGATCGAAAAATAGCTGGCGTCGTAGACCACATGGAATGGTCTATCCTGATCTGCATTCCACACATTTGTGCGATTGCATCAAGTGTGGTGGAGTCGACCTCAGAAAATTAATTTAGTGAGTGTCGATCTTCCACTTGCCCAGACTTGCCGACTCACGGAGGGGGTACTCCGATCCGTGCCTTGCTGTATAACCTTGTGCTCACCTTTTGTACCCGTCGGTTGGGCTGGCTCGAGCTCTTCGTAATGGCCTTGGGAGATGTCGATCTCGCTGAGGGTTTGGGGTTGAGCGTTCGCTTCCGGTGCGGAATTCTTCACACCACGAACGGGGTTCTGCGATCCTGATCTTGAGTCGCGGCGATCTCTATTTGGAGATGTCGCG